TTAGTGCGGAGACGTGTAGAACATGGGAATTTGGACCCCCAACATATTACAGGTGGTCTTGCGTTGAACTCCAGGCGGTATGGGCATTAGCGCCACCAATAAGAGGTTAAGGAAAGTCCGGATTATGAGGATTAGTGTTAGGGTTGGGGTTTAACTTGGGACGTGGAATAGGTACACCTTGGAGTGCAGTCCAAACCCACCTAAAGCAGGGGCTCCTTATTTGCATGCCAAACCCGAGAACGGACCAAAAAGTGTTATTTTAATCCCAATCAGGCAATTATTACTTCATTATTAGACAAAATAGCGTCCCCTGTTTACTGTTATTTCATGCATCCTAAAACTGACTCCGGCAGTCTAATCTTGAACACGTTTCACAAAGAATATAACAACAAACATAGTGCACCCCATACGGTCTAACTAGGCCATTTCGCCTCCTAGTTATATCAATTTAAAAAAATGAAAGTAATTGAACCGGTGCGTGATGATCATGAGCCAGATCTTCAAAGAAGTTGGTCCTACGATTTCTTTAAAAAATCAAATTGTCTTTAGGGTACCTGTCCTACGACACCCCAGTTTGCCCACTCCTTAGAAAATTCAAATCTTCCTCTAAAGCTGGTAAGCCATCAGCTACAGTTTTTCCCTCAGATTAGGTTTTCCCTGATACTACAGGCAGAAGGTCGGAACTCACAATTCTAGCGATATTATTCTTTTAAAAATTAAGTAGTTGCGTTCAAACGTTTAGAGATGAAAGCTGACCTGACTTCGAACCAATATCGGATTGTAAGTTTCAGCAGCAGATTGTGGCACGTTTATGTTATCCCAAGCCAATCGACGATATCGGAACTTTTTCCGATTTCAGTAGTTTACTGAACTTTGTTTCTTTAATTATGCAGTTTGTTTTCCTTAAAAAAACTTCCGCTGTCTCTCGTCTGTGCGCTTGAGTGAGGATTCAGTGGGACTGGCATGGGTGGCACGCGGTGATCTGCCAGGACTTAGTCAAATTTCAACAATATGACCGAGTCTTCTTCAATGACGGTCAGCATTTCAAAGCTTGGATGTGAGTAGGTTTTAAAGATAGAGAAGGAGAAGAAGAAGAAGAAGAGGAGGACTAGGACGAGGACGAGGAAGAAGAAGAAGAAGAAGTACAATCCTAGATTAGTGGATTATTTAACATCGCGACCGTCAGGAAGTCGATATATGCATCCATCATCCAGTCCAATAATTCTTTAGAGGACGCAGAGGGTGCAGGTTTCAATTAAAGCTTTAATTCACGCTATGTGGGCGGAACGCGGTGATTGAGAAGTTTAACAGCCAAATACTACCTGGACCCGCCTGCGTACGTTCCAGGCTCTATTTACGGGGCCTAGGGGAGAATTCCCATAGGTGCTACAATAAGATGCCTTGCAGCCCAACTTTCGATCATGAAAGGGACCGAGATAACCCCTTAGCTCTCAAGCCACTAGCCTTATGACTCTTAACGCGACGTGATACCTTCGAGTGTGTCACATGTACGGTAGGTAGGTTAACTCATGAAATGTCTACCGAAATTTCGAAGTGCGTTCTCGTTTCAAAAAGATTAATTACGAAGGATTGTAAAACTAATCATCATGCAGCATAATTCTATAATTATGCAGTTGTCGCAGGGTGTCGGCTTTCGAATGAACTTATTTCCAACTGCATGGAAGAACTATACTCTGCAAAAACGACTACTTAGTATCATGCAATTTTCTCATTTATCGTCGATGCCCCTGAAAATTCATTTATATTTCATGGAAGACATGCATAAAAATATTCATTCCGTTACATATTTGGTAGAAAATCACGTCTTCTTCTGATTTTATACTCTAAAGAAGAGTATAATTTGGTTTCAAAAAGTTTCTAATTGTGAGATTTTTAAGACCGTGAAATGGGCCCCCATAAAACGTTGTCTCTGCATTTACCAATGTGACTTGTAAAATTAACAATGTGGCTCAAATCCTCGGCTTAATTTTTTGAACCCCATATGGTCTCTTTTTAAGACCGTAGAGAAATTCATGGTTTTCTACACACAAAAATATACAGCTTGTAGTTTTGAAACCCTGAATGCAAATGGAACAACAGATCGAATTCAAAATTATTCGGGAATTATAAAAGTTTGTTAAAACCGAATTATGCTCTTCTTTCGAGGATAAAATTGGAAGAAAACGTGATTTTCTACCGAATACATACAATAAAGAATATTTTTATGCATGGTTTCCGCGCAGCATAATTGAATTTTCAAGGGCATCGAAAATAATTTGGAAAGTTGCATGCTACTTACGTAGTCATTTTTTGCAGAGTATAGTTTTTACTTGCAGCCGGAAGGACGTTCATTTGGAAGCCGGCATCCTTGGGTAGCCGAATTATTATCGAATTATACTGCAGACCGATTAGTTTTACAACCCTTCTTAATTAATCTTTTCGAGACGAGAACGCACTTCGAAATTTCGGTTGACATTTCATGAGTTAGCCCACTTAATTTATTATGCTGAGGAATGTGCAGATTTGCCCGACCTTATTCTCACTCTTCCCTCCTCCCTGCATCAGTGGCCTGTTCACTGTCTACTATCTACTAAAAGTGAGTCCCGGTCATTGTCTCTCTCCATGCGATAGTATTCCTTTACAGCGCGCCACATACAACCTAGGACAGCACGTCTGCTCCTAAAATGGGTCACACGGTAGATGCGCTGGACCAATACAGGGAGCTAGGTCGGGGTCCGGCAGGCGTTATGATTCACTACACTCTATTTGGTAACCCTACCACCCCCTGTTTGATTTGTGGTATAAAGGCTTGGTCTGTGTCCGTAGTGGACCAGGGGATGCGGTCGTACACTCAGGTGGGGTTTTCCCGCCTCCGGTTTTCTTGACTATGTCTTGACACCGAACCCAGGTGGGGAGGAGGGTGAAGGAGTGCGGTAGGTTCTACGCGAGTCACCGTCCTTGCTCTAACAGTTCGACCGTCGCATCTCACAATGTCCACCGTGTGCTCCCCAGCGGAGTGAAGCAGGCACGTGGACTTGCGCGTGATTTAGTTTATAGTGAATGTAGACTTGCGCAACATCTGCCGCACTCTCTCTCTCTCTCGTCCTCCCCACCTGGACCCGATATCAAGACAGAGTCAAGGAGGCGCAGATGGATGGCACGGTCGAGACCACACCCTGAAGCTCCACTCCACACACCCAGGTCCACACAGCAAATGACCAGAGTTTTAACCAAGACCAAAAGGGGCTAGCGCAGTAAGAGCCGCACTTAGGGGTGCCGTCGCATCTGGCTCGATCCCACGGAGTGGGAGTGTTGAAAAGGCCACATTAGGAAGGAGTCATTGTAGCCTGACTCTTAGACCGCCAGTCGGCCGCTCCACTAAAACACACAACACTGGGCTGACTGCAAGGTCCAAGTTATCCAGTCAGTTGGCAATCTTACATGCCCAGGCCCCAGTCACTGTCCGAGCCGGTCAGTTGACAGGTTTGGGGAATGGGCGTGGTGGCTGACATATCTATTGACCATGTCTGCGCCCGCCACACGCACGACCGGGCCCCCCAAACACAAGCACCGGGATTCACACAACGTGGGTTGGACGGCATACGTCTCACATGCGTGAGAGTGCCATAGTTCACGTTAAGAATGAGCCATTTCAGCCTGGCTATCGGCCCACCAAACTGCCACTCCGCACATACACAGACACGACTGGGCAGACTGCGTGGACTGCGTTGAGGTGTCATTCAGCAGCCTTCAAAGCCACGGTGTTTGACGCAACGTGACAGTCTCAGTCAAGAATCACACATGCAGCAGAGGAGTTGCGTGGTGAATTAGTAGAGACGCACACTTCCCACTTGCGTGATAGGTGGCAGTTGGGTGCTTTTGGTGGGTGATTATGTGTGATGAAGGTGTGGGGGGAGATGTAATGGTGTGTTGAAGCCGGCGGTTATTTACCGCAGACTTTCGTGAATGCGCATGTGGCCTGATAGGCCCATGTGGTGGGTGAATGTGCGGGTGCAGTGAGGGCAGTTGAGACGGGTTCGGCGAGTGTATGTTGGTGCCCTAGGCACAAGTTCGCCAATCTCTGTACGACTGATTTTCAAGTGACCGACCAGGCCGATTTGAGAGGTGAAGCTGCGTTTGCAATGATGACAGGTATGGATAGAGTCCACATCGCTGGGGTTGTTGGTGGGGGGGGGGGAGGTTTGGTGTTTGCTGGTGTGTAAGGATTCAGTGCAATGGCCGTGGGCGCAGGAGCCGTCGCAACGGATGATTAGGCGTCGGAGGACGATGGCAGTGAGAGTTCAGGAGTACATCCAGTGTTGATGGTCGGCTTGAAGGGTGAGGCAGAGGTGGACAGCGGGACATCGGATGATGTCATCCAGGTGCCGCAATTGGTACGCAGATGTCCAATAAGGCCAATTGGTGTCCGGAACGTCCGCTACTATCACGGGCAGATCGGGGGCGGTTGACTGTTGGCATTGCGAGGCGGGAACAGCTGAGATTTACGAGCTTGGCCTTTGACTGTGGTGGCGGTGATGCGGTTGGCTTCGTAGATCGCTGCGCCTGTCTTCACTGCTCTCCGCCAGGTTCGGTTGGTCTCAGGCCAGGTCTCCCCAATTTTCCGGGTCGATTTGTAGGCGCTTTAGGGAGGTCTTCAGGGCACCTTGTAGCCTTTCACTTGACCTCCTTGTCGGAGGGAACCCGTGGCGGCATCTCCAAAGAAGAGTCACCTGCGCAGCCGCTGGTCGTCCAGGCGCACAAGATGGCCGCTCCAACGCAGTTGTAGTTGTCTCAGCATGGCGTACATGTTATTGATGTCTGTCCGTTCCATTTCTTCCGCGTCCGGGATCTGGTCCTGCCACCTCAGATTCCATATCCGTCGGAGACAGATGAGTTGGAAGTAATCGAATCTTCGCACCTGTTTATTTCACACCGTACGTGAATTTGCTCCATACAGCAGCGTCATCAGAATAACTGTTTTGTACATCTTCAGTTTCGTGCTAAGGCGGAGACCACGTCGATTCCAAACTGTGTTTTGCAGACCGCCGAATGCTTGACCGGCAGGCTACTTCACCGTCGATTTTGGTTTTGCGAGAAAGGATGCGGCTTAGGTAGGCGAAGTTGTCCATAACTTGCAGTTGGGTGCCGTTCACGTTGATTTGGGGTGCAACGTAGACAGCGTCGGCTGGTAGTTGGTGCATAACCATTGTCTTCTCCGTGTTGATGATCAGGCCAAAATTGTCATAGGCAGCAGCGAGGAGATCCATGCTCCTTTGCATGCCTTCTTCGGAGATGTCCTTGAGGGCGCAGTCGTCGGCGGAGAGAAGTTCGTGGATGGTATCTGTAGGTGCACGCGACTGGAAGCGCATCCGCCGGTTGTTGAGGAGTTGGCCGTCCGTTTACCACGGTAGACATCCATTAACATGGCAGAAAGCACGAGGCTGAAGAGGATAGGCGCGAGGACGCAGCCCTACTTCACTTCGTTGGTCGTTGCGAATGCCTCTAAGACAGCTCCATTGCCCGTGAGTAGCGCCATCATGCCGTCGTGGAGCTGAGGCACCATCTCGGTTAATCGTTCGGGAGAGCCGAGTTTCTGCATGATTTTCTACAGTCCCTCGAATATAAACGTATCGATGGCTTTTACTAGGCCCACGAAGGTAGAATAAATGTGGATCCGTATCTCCTGACACTTCTCCTGAAGTTGACTGCGGCGAAGAGCATATCGGCGGTTCCGCGATGAAGGCGGAAGCCGCATGGCTTTCCGGCAGGATACCTTGCTCTAGATGGTTATTAAGACAGTTGAGAAGAACGCGAGCGAAGATTTTCCTGGCGGTATTAAGTAGGGTGATGCCTCGGTCGTTGTCGCAGAGTCGACGGTCCCATTTCCGCTTGTGGGGGTGGATGATTGTGCTGTTCTCGAAGTCCTGAGGAACTTCTCCTTGACACCACACCTCCTGGAAGAGCGCCATCAGGTGTTCCATAAGTTGGAGACCACAGCGCATGTAGATTTCAGCAGGGGTCGCGACCGATCCGGGCGCCTTCTCGCCGGAGAGCTGGTGCACATCCATGATAGTTTGGTGTAGGAAGGCCGCGATGTCGAGGTCGGTCTTGGTCTTCACTTGAGACGAAGGGGCAATGGCGCTGTTCGAGATGCTGGGAGGACGGCTGAGGACGTCTGAAGTCTCTGGCCCATCGTTGCAGAGCTTGAGTCTTCTCAGTGAGTAGGGTAGTTCCGTCGGCGTTGAGAAGAGGATCAGTGCCTTTGGCTGTGGAGACGCAGCCAGCCTTGAGCACGCTGAAGAAGTTCTCCCATTCGTTCCGGTCCGGATATTCTTGTATTTCCTCGGACTTGCGAGCCGTCCAGGTCTCCTGTATTTCGCGCAGCCGCTGCTGCACAAGGCGGCCACTACGGTAGAAGGCTGTTTTATTGTCGTCAACAAGACAATTGACGTAGGCTTTATGCCGTCGGTTCTTCTCGGCGAGTAAGTTACTGATGGCGGCGTCATTGTCTTCGAACCACTCCCGGTGTTGGCGATTTGCGCGACGGACAGCAAAGGCGGTCACCTGAACTGTGTTCCTCAGTTGATACCAGCGGTCCTCCACAGAGGCGTCCTAGTCGGCGGCGTCAGCGGCGACTGGAAGATTGGTTAGCCTTCGAGCCAGTTAACTGCTGAAGTGGAGATGGTGAGCAAGCAACGACAACAAAGCAATATTCAACTTACCTGATGGTCACTTACCTTGAGGTCCCCGTCTCTGCGCTAATCCTGCTGTGGAGTATACGGTGGACATAGTCGAAATCGACAGTTCAACTGTCGCGGCAGTACGTAACGGCTTGCGCAGACCTGACGCAGCGCTACAAACGTACGTCATCAGTAATTGGCTCTCTTTTGGTTCCGCACACCTACAACATAGCCTGTTTTTAGAGGCGCGAGAATATAGGAAATGCAACCATGAGCATACATTTGTCAGAGAATGACTGTCTGAGAATCAACCGTATTAAAAGATCATACAGACGAAAAGAAATTAAGACTAGAAGAGACGTCGTTAGCTGTATCACGTTTACTTCTGGAATATTCGCAAGTGCCTAGAATTCAGGGGTAAGCTAAACAAAATATTTTCCGTTGCAATCATTTCCGTGCTATAAGTAGCATAATTTCATATGGTCACATAGCAGCTTTTTTATTTTACCTCAGCACGGTTATTCAAGTCTTGCTTCACCTAATTTAAGGAGACTGTGCTGTTACCTTTCGATTTGCCGACGACTGTCCCATAATATTTTGTCATTTTGATAACTGTGGCATTTCATAAAGACCTGTAGGTACGCAGGAGCTTCACCCAACAGCTATTAGCACAGCAAATCACCGGCGCATCAATAAATATCACCGTTTACCAAAACTGTTCTGCTTATCTCAACCAAATAACTCGGAAGTATATTTTGCTCAAAAAAGGACTTTTATGTACCGCACCATACTGTTTAACAAAGAACAGAGAGTTCAAAGTCTCCACCGATGATTTAGATTTCAGTCATCAAATTTAATCGGTTATTTCACCGATTAAGCAGGTAAACGCAAAAATATCTTAACCACACAGTGTTCGAGTTTTTCAGTCTGTGCTTTTAATAACATACAGAATGGAAATATTTCGGCTATTTCAAAAACAAGGGCCGACTAACAGTTTGAGATCTACTTGGCTGCGCATTCTGCCATCATAGGCATTCTGGTAACTATTGCATTCATTATTTTGCTATTCGGGTAGAAGAAATCTTGGATAATCGAAATATTATACAGATTTTTATGACTTTTTTGCGAAATGCTGCCATATGTTGCCATGCGTACAGCAGGTCGTACTGAAAACGGCTGTACTTGCAATTTTTGATAGCACGTGAGTTTCAAAACTAAAATTTATGACATAACTGTGGAATTTTATTCCGGAAAGAAAATTCCTCATGTTCAAGTGATTTTTACAGTTTTCCTTGTCAATATCTCGGACCTCGTGGGTTATTCTGTCCATGTTTTAGTTGCAGTATGTTTCGTAGCAAAAAATAGAGGAAGTTTTTAGACTCAAGGAGTGCAAAGCCTGATAAAAAGACCCTGGATCTTCAATGTCCCTTTAAAAATATATGTTTATTTGGTGCTGAAAGTGTAGCGTGATTGACTGGCTGCGGTTTCTCAGGGACCTTTCTATTTTACGGTCACCCCTGTTATGCTGCAGCTTTCTTGTATTACCTTGCATAAACAGTGCATTTCTGTAAGTTTGCTTACTGACTTATGCTAAGAGTGGCGTTTACTGGCATTGGATATAACAAAAATTCCTCAGCTTAGTACGTTTCTTGATTTAATCGATTTTAGCCTTTGAAATTATGCCAGAGAAATCAGTCGAAAGTGTGAAATGGTTGGAAACATCACGGACAACACTGTTATTGTGACCAAATAATAAAGCTAAAGTTTAGTGCTAGTTCAGGAGTACTTGAATTATTTCTTGAAAGAAGACATCTAAGCAAATCAATTGCGCTAAAACTGCATCTCATCAGCGTAAATATGGATTGTTTAACTCCTTAGCTGTTTGCCAAGTCTTCACAAACAATAAGGATGTGGACTCTTTTGATGAACAAAGCCCCCCCAACCGCATGGGGCATACAGATTTCAGGCTCATATGCAAAGCCCCAATCTATCTGTTCCTCACCAGGCATCTGGTGTTGGATCGACCTCCCCCAAATCTCGGTGATTCTATAGTCAAAAATGATAAACTGAATAATTTGGACTATTACACATTCCTGAAATACAGGCTATGCGACAATCGCGCAATAATTCCCAAATAACTTCATACATTGGGGATTTCTGAAGTCATCTCAATCAAGAATTATTTTATGGTAGCAAAGGCATGATTCCAGAGAGAGAAAACGGTATAAGCAGAAGCGTTCACAGGGCTGTGCTTATTTTCGTCCTGGCTTTTTATTCGCCGTATCAAAAACATTTTTTTTAATCCAGCGTCGTCGACGTTTTGCATCTTGGGCGAAAGTTTCACCAAAAAAACCAAATTATTCGCGAAACAGCGACTGGGGCACGCGCTAAGCGTTCCTCTCTCCGATGATTAATGTGTAGGACGAAGTAAAATAAGTCCTGAATTTTATTTAAAAGATCTCAGGATGAATATGAATGAGGGAATATTTGTTCGGGAGTTCACAACTGACGGGGAAAGATTGTCGGAGTCCTTTTCTGACGTTAAGGTTGTCTACGAAGTTAAACAGTGTTAAATTTTAAAGTGAACGCTTTGGGCTCACACTCCACCCTAAAAGCAAGGCTACTATGCGAATTTGAAACACATGTCAAACGAACTGGCTGATTGATCGGTTGTAATTCCTAAGGCTTGTCATTTAGGTATTTGCATGATTAGGCTTTATTCTGCAAATGGAACTTAAGAAAGTGTCAGTCTTAACTAGATGTGACCATTTACACGACAACAAACGTAAGCGGTGAATCAATAAAACCGAGCAAACCCAAATTTTGCGGATTCTCTAAAGCAAAAATGCACACTTCTGGAACTCCAGCTGTATGTTACAAAAAGCTTTAACTGCGGTTCGTCTGATTGCTCCGTGCCAATTTACTATACGTTGTGCTGCAGCAGGGGAAGTCAGACCTAGATCGGGATGCCTTATGACTGTACTACAGACGGACTTGGCAAGGTAGAGTAAGCTTATTCGATCATTATTATTCGGCAACATTAGCGTCCAGTTTCTTCATCTAGCCCCCCAGTAAGATTTCTCCCTAAAGACGGACAACTTTTAGACTGAAGATCTACATTTCTACAGGTATTTGGTTAGTAAATATTGATAAAACCCTCGGGATAAGGCAAAAATACTTGGTCAACAAAGAAGGCAATTTTTAACCACATTCTTTCCTAGTACCGCTTAATTTCTTCCTTTTTACAACTAAATCGCAGTCATTGGCCTTTTTGTAGCCCTGTCGTCACACTGAATGTTCATCACATATACGGTTTGCATGGATATGTACTGTCATATTTGGTTCTAGTGGACTGAAGTTAAATCAACAAGCGGGTTTGCGATAGAACAAAAGTATTTTTGTTCGCTAGATGTCATAAGAGAGCTTAAAATAGAAACTGGTTCCGGTTTCCTGGTGCACTGTCCACGCAAGATCTGTGTGTTTTGTATCATATGCATTTTTAAGACAGAGGCCCCGATGACCCTAAAAGGGGTCAGTCATGACTTGTTTGCGTTTCCACGTTGGTGTTTGTCCCAGGGTCTGGACGCGTCCATCATTAAACAAAACAGGACCAAAGCGCGTCCACCCCCAAGCGCTTGGGGACAAAACCATTAGCCGGCGACTCAACAGTCATTTATGGGTCAAGCAAAGGTAACATACACTCCCCAGAGGAGTGCCCTAGTAGGACCACGACAGCTGATTTTCATTAGTAAATGAGGTCAAGAGGCCGGCCAACTGTGAACAGGAGGGCGGTGACGGACCTGTTTGCCGACGGACGTGTTTGACTGACTCGACAAACTGCGGTTGCTGGAAAATACTCACTGGGTAGCCGATAGTCTTTCTAGTCACCAAAAATGGTTGCTTTCAGTGTCGGCGAATTTCAATAGTCATAAATTAGCCAAAGTCGGTCTTCAGTGTAATGAGCATATTAGGCGATTGGTTCCTAGTTAAAGCATCTTCTTCATTGTTAGCTCATAATTTTGGTGTGAATAGGTTATAGAAGAGCGTTGCATGAATTTTCAATACAGTTTCACAGGTGATTACGATCACCCCAAATCACAAGCAAACCGATTGGAGGCCCGAGAGCGTCCTTTACCCGCAAACAACATGCGCAGGAACTCATGAAACGCCAACTCATACCTTGAATTATAATTTAGGACGATAATTCAACTTAAGGATCCTCTAATATTAACTGGCATAAAACACCGACTTTTAATCGAGCGTCCTCTCAACAATTTGAAGAAAACACCCTTAAAAAGACATAATCCTCTTATCGCCTTCCAGAAATTGTATTGAGTCATTCGTTTTACTTTGAAAAAATGCACCCAAAATCCAATTCCTAAACTCGTTTTAAAGAGACCGATGTTTTCTTCACATTTTTAACTCAAACAGGAGGTGTTTCAGTTTTTAGCTAGTTTGAATACATGAGCCTTTCTAAAACACTCAGTAACTTACTCAGTTATCCCCATGCGCTCCGGATTACGGATGCCGTCGTCAGACTATTCAGAGTGGTTCACTCGAGTACTCTAATCCGTGAGCTCTAGAAGTCCCCTTCACTTATGCATGAGGAGATATAGCATTTTTTCATTGGGAAATTTAAATAGCGTGCAGTTTTCCAACCATATGCCTAAGTGAAAACGTAAGCCGTTCAAAAATATGAGGGGTCAGCATACTCTTGAGAGCTAGACATAGACTTCCATGATGGGAAGTATTTTATTGGGGAATACGTTTTAAAAAACTAATCTTAAGGGTCAAAACTCAAGGGCATCATTTTAGGAGACATTCCTCAGTCAACACCACCATCGAAAATGAACTAAAAGGCATAAACTACAAGCGCACTTTTCTCCGGGTATCATTTATGCAGGTGGTCGAGAAGATGGTCAATTAAATGTCAGTGTGACACCCCGTGGGAACAAGATTTGAGCTGTGCAAAATGATATTTACCACTGGCCCAGCATTTAGTGATCGCTCTCATTTCAAGGTATTCCCAATTATCTGAGCCAGGATTTCATGAGTTTTCTTCGCAGGAAAAGATCACTGCGCCCATGTCCACGTACTTTAAACTAGTTGCAAGATTCACTCATCTCCTTCTCGACCGATGGAAGCGACGATACCTACCACCTGCCCCACGGAGTGGGCGCACGAATTATTTCCTAGTGAGACAGGCTTGCGTAGCAACTGTTGCACTCTCTACTCTGTCACCCACCATGCCACGATGGCGGCACTTAGTAAAGACGGCCAGAGGTGTGCGTCGACGCAGTGGCTGGCAAAGCTACAGAGCTCGTCAACGAGTGCCACACCGGATTTGGCACCCACAGCATGTACTGGACTTCTGTACCAGCAACTCGGATCTCACATGGGTGAGAGTGCCATAGGAGCCACACTAAGAAGGTGCCACTGCAGCCTGAATTTCAGCCCTAGGGAAGTCCAAGATATCCCGTTAGTTTGCAGTCTTTTATGCCACGACTGTTAGCCCTGCAGGACAAATCCAAGCGCGTCAGATTTATTCTAGCGAGGGATGTGCTGATGGGCGCTGGAAATGGATTTTCCCAGTGTAGACCCCAATTTTCTTCCTTTCAAACAACTGCCGATGGGATAAGCGCCGTGGTTAGCGAGTCATGAAGGCCTGTGGCTGAGGCGTGCCACATCCCGCATGTACAGCGATGATTATGGTCTACTGCGGACTCGGGGCAACCAGATAAACGCCCGCCGTGAGCCAGTCTGATCACTCGTGTTGATTCAAATGATCTGTGGCGCAGCCTGCGATGTGGGTCATTGCCGAATACAGTTTCCTATCCCTAACGCAAGAGCGTGATGCGAGTTACTAAGTGACCAGTGGAGGTTACTTTGTTAGTAAAAGTATTCGAAAGAAATGTCCGTTTCGTGGTTGTTGTTTGGTTACACTTACAAAACAGAGGAGTATGGGGGATCTGCTTGTCTATATCTTTAGAAGTTTTTCGTACCATACTGTACGATTTGTAGACGAGTTCCCTCATCAGGCAAATCGGACTCAAAAATTGCAAAGTATCGGACGAGGAGGGGAAGTGTTTTTGTTTTACATACAGTCGACAGGGAAATTTTGCAAATTAATTATGACCTTGTGGTAGGCCTTGCATTTATTCATACCTGCTGTTACGTAGACTTAAAAATCTCCTTTTTGCTGACGCCTCCAATCAGAGGCCTGACAGCGGACCAACATGTTGGTAATAGAGCAGATAATCAGTCTAACTGCATATATCTTAATTACTACACCATTTTCCTTGGTCAAAGCTGATTTTACTGTCGACATTGTCAAACAATGAATTTATGGCCTTCAAGCAAAGAAGAAAATGGATTTTTAAGTCTAGAATTTATGAGTATAGACCTCATAATAGGGAAGACCACACACCAAGCTCACCAAGTCACCCGACTGCATTTTGTCTGTCTTCCCTGGAGCGGCATATGCATCGAGGGCTGGCAGTGGGCAAATCAAAATGTGCCTCTTACGCCAGTACTGGCCTCTGGGCCATTTATATTTCCATAAATTAAACGGGTGTCGACAAACTGCTTGACAAGACTTTAGGCTGAATTGTGGAGCTTGCGCAATTTTATGGACTGCGATCGGGAAGAGGGAACACTTTGACGGTTTTGTTGTCCGGTTTTAAAATAAAGAGTGCGTCCTACTTGCTAGCTCATTTCCACACGATTTATTAAGTGAATTAGTTGTCAGGCATGGAGGCGGACTTCCGAGCTGCGTGTATATTTGTGAGTGAGAAAGAAGACTTGTCCAGTACTGGAGCAATTTGTTTATTATCCTGAGCTCTCGAATACTCTCAGGAGTCCCTCGTCAAAAGTAGTAGCAGTGACAGAGCAAACGACAATTGTAGGGGGTACCAGTCAATCAGCGATCACGCGCACAGGTCTAGAATTGACTGCGCAAGGTTCTGGGTGCTGGCGCCAGCTCAGCACATCGATTGGCTGAGTTCTCTTCTAAAATCCAGGCCTCATTCAACTCTAACCTAGACTTGTTTCCGACTTGGACCATTATCTTGGCGGCTGAGAAGTTGAACTCATGACCCTATGAGCAGGGACTTGAGATAATTCGTTGTCCTTTCACACCGTCTACGCTGGGGATGCGGCACAGTACCGCAGATTGCTCTTCGGGACTTAATCAGTCTTTGATTTTCGTGACCTTGCTGCGCATGTTGTCTCTGGGCCGGCGTGCAACTCCAACATCTAGTTCCGCAGCAGTGCACACGGTCGCTTGTCTAACGCCCTTACTGTAAGGCAGAGAGTGCCATATGCTTTGCAACGTTGCTGTTTGAGTCCTTCAAGAGCGACCGCGTAGGCAGCATCATATATATGCCTTCGGGTGGCCATTTCGCATAAATTAATCGTGGAGGTAATGGGCCTCACGTGCCGTTTGCTCCGGCTTGCTGCAACGAGTCTGGATCTGTTTGAAAAGTGTTCTCACACAGCATCGTTTGTAAGCCACCGAATGGTTGCTGTGAAAGTTGAGAGGCTGTGTGGTGTTCCTTACCTTCCTATCAAACATTGTTTCAATTTCGCCGCCAAGATTTCGTCTGTGAGCACATCAAGGAAGGGCAACAGTTGCTCCTGTTCTTCCTTTCTAGTAAATTTGATATTAAGGAAGACCGTGTTGAGCAGGTTGTGGAAATTTTGAAACATCTTCCTTTTAATGATAACAAACATGTCGTCTACGTAACGGCGCCAAAATAGTGGCGTATGCTGAGCGAAGGCAATCTTTTCGAGCTCTTGTAGGACCCGTTCTGTCACAAAACCGGAAACCAGTAAGCCCACTGGAGTTCCCCTGATCTGCTTATAGGTCACTCCAGCAAAAGTGAAGCAGGTTTGTTGACAGAATTCAAACAACCTATGAAGTGCCTAATTTTTAGTTGACCCCGAGTATCGTTTTATGCCTCTTCAAGTCTCTTGCACAAGAATTCTTCAGCCAAATTCGATGGGATGGATGTGAATAACGACGCCCAACAGAGAGAGACTGTGGTCTCGTCCGACTGAATCATCCGACCTCGGAGGTTTACGAGGAAATGAGAGGCTATTCGAACGGAGGTGGTCGAATTGCCTTGAAAAAATTTCCCTTTGACCACATTTATTTTGGGAAATTATAGATCGAGTTACGCCTTGTGGCACGATTGGCCACAGTGAGAGACTTGGTATGTGGATTTTTGGCAGAATACAGAATCGGGCCAGAGCAATCTCGGTCGCTTTCATTTGCTGCCATTCGTTCTCCGTGATCGCGTTTTTGCACAGTTCATTCGGCCGATTTGCTATTGCTCTGGCTTGTGAGTTCTGTGTTAGTATGTAAACTGTGGCCATCAAGAAGAGCCTAAGCCCTCTCATCATAGTTTTCTCGGTTCATCAAGACGGTTATCCGTCCCCTGTCAGTTGGCAGGGTGATGTGTTGTTGTCCTTCCTCAGTTCCCTCGTAGCTTTTGACTGACTATGAGAAACACATTAGTTTGGTCTGAGCGTCATCAGCAAAGAGGGCAACATGCTATCGCTGGTTGTTTCATTCCTCAAAAACCTAGCTCAGAGGGTTGTAATGCGTTCGATCTACTTGACATCTGCGGAGTTGAAACAAGCTTCATACCGTAGTGCTCGTAACTGCCAATCTGTTAGCTGTTTAGATGAATTGTCGGGGATGAGGTTCGAGCTTCTTGTGTCTGGTTGTTTTAATTTAGTTTGTTTCTGTTCCCAAGCTCATCTTCTCCTATACTGTTTCACTCCATTTGCATCTGAGGACTGAATAAAGCACTCAAACATCAGACCGGAGTGTGAGCCCTTAGATCTGTTGGTCAACGAGAGTTGTGTACAGAGGCCTCTATGACCGCAAATATTAGTAGTTTTAGCCGGTTTACCATCGCTGTGATTAGAATCGGCTGATTTGACCCTACAAAATTAATAACCCTTGTTTTTACAGGTCCGTTTAAACCTTCTCGCGTAGTAATTGGAAGATTAAGCGGTAGAGTTTCACGAAGTACGTACTTTTCCAATAATTGTTGCTGTGCAGCATATCATTGAGCTATCCGCTGACGCGTGAACTAGAGAATTCTTTTAGTATACATGAAGAGACGTTCGTAACATACGCCAGCGTAGATTTTTCCGCATTGTGTTTAATGCGATTTAAGTTCGGCTTAAATATTTCAGTGGCTTATTATTGTACAGATTATGCCGGCTTAGTTGTGTTTGCATGATCGAAACATTAACCCCTCCGCTTTCAAAGCTTGAACCTCGTCCTTAAACAAAAAAACATAATACAAACTACAACGCCGAACCAACTACCCATTTTGGTGTAAATCTCAAAGAGATCTGTATCTTAAGTAAGTGGCAAGCGGTATCGTATAACTGCCTTCCTTCCTGGCATCCTTGTATCCAGCTGCAACGGAGGTGCCTTTTTCACACTGGTCTGTATTTTATTAATAGCATAACTTCGAGTAAGTTTTGTGGAAAAACAACTAGGAACTAATGTTAAAAAGGACATTCTTTCCCATTTCACATAACATAGTGAGTAATTTTATTGACTTTATTCCGAAATTATGGACATTGTGGTATCGAGTGCCTGTTTGAACAAAGTATGCTTAAATGAATCGGCTCCACGCGGTAATCCTGTGGCCACAGCAAATATATTAGAAGATTATGAGGACAAGAAACTTTATTCGACGCACAGCATCAAGTCGAGAGTTGAAAACAATGCAGCTACTCGTATGCTAATTATATCCTGTTTTATAGGGCGTCGTCTATGCAACGGCAAAGATTATGTGAGGTTATGCAATTCGGCCAGAAATGTCGGCGTAACCAAGACTGAATTCACGTGGATTTTATTGGCCAGTACGTCATGTAGAATCCTGATTCTACTTAATCTGCAAAAATCGCACTTTCGAAGCACAGAAAACGTTGCATGTCATTAAGACGAAAGGAGGTATATCATTCACTATCGGTAATTTTCCCCAAAGGGACATATTAGATATCATTTCGGGTTATTTATTGTGTACCAACCCCTTCGCCCGATTCTACGACAACGATCACACTACACTAACCAGAATCCATTAGACAAATCCGAAAATATCTCCGAGCAACAGCTGCCTCTGAAAAAACTTTTCAGACCGGCCGAGGCGGTAAAGAAGCTCCTGTGACTCCTTTCTTTATCCTTCGATGCCGCCATCGTTGGATTGTATAACTGTTGAAGCGCGACTTTAGTGCAACCGTGTCTCCTGCCGCGGGAAGCCCGACTTACGGACTCTGTCTCTTTCACTTCGACTTTCCATCTCCCATGACGTTTTTGTATGCTTTATCATGAAACGTTTATCCCCCAAGTTTACGCCGAACAGTCCTGTCGCGCTTTATTTGCTTGAAGATGATTCTATCACAACTCTGGGTAAGGACCACGAAACGGCCAACGTGGTGGCGCGGATACAACTGTGAATTCTTTGTGTGACTATTCTTTTAGCATTGCCGAGGACAGGTCACCAAACGACCTTCGCCGATTTCGTAAAGACCTCCTACACTGTAAAATGAAGCAGCCCCTGCTCATAAAAACTACTCGCGAAAGCTGCGAAGCCTCCATATAAGCAGTCTCCCCAACATACCACTGGGGTTGAAGGCAGACCGGAGGCAACCATCAGGTGCGAGTTAATGAGGCCGAAAATCTACAGAAAACACCCGGACTTGTTTAACAGATCTGGTGTGGTTGCGGCTAAATCAACTGCTTCGCATAAACTAGGAGATTAAGCCGGATGCGGTTGGCCAGGCACGTGACAGCAGTTAGGGGAAATGACGCCAGGTCTCAAGCCGTGCCCCATTCGACGGCACCCGGCAGGGCGGACTTGAATAAATCATACCTAAAGGGAAAATTTGTCTTGAGTGTTGGAAGTGTCAATGCATAGTAATGCTGTTTCTTAGTGCAGGAAGTCTCCTACTCAATTGTGGTATTTTATTTTAAAAAAACTGCTAATTAGCACAAGAGGCGGTGAACCCTGCAGTAAAAAGCAAAAATGTTGAACTGCTTCCGTTTGTGAACTCTGGAAAATCCACGCAATCTAAGGCCTCCCATAGGCTTATGTTAGCCATTTTGGAACATACGGTAGCCGGAAAGGCAGATGCATGCAACAATTTGCATAGTCGTAGGCCACTGTCCACAAAATAGTTCAGTTTCGTGGCTTTCTAATTCCTTTAAACATTTAGCACTTCAATATCATTTCTTGGGGCCCTCCTGTAGTAATAATCACAAAGCCTACTTGCTTTAATGAAGTCCAACACAGAGGGGGGGGGGCTTTAGGTCATCACTCTCGTGTGGCTGATTGACAAAGCTAGGAAAGGCCACCCTCGTGTTTACTCATGACCTGGCCAAAATTTGAACTGTGGTAAGGGTCGGGTGAAGGACCCCAAGCATCTGTGGCATACAAAGAATACCTAATATACTTACTTAGGCTGGTTTTGGTCCGACACGATTATTTCGGTTTGGTGTTTCATCATACAAGGTAGGATTGTCTGTTATAGACGGTTTAGTGCATTATCTACAATGAACTCAGCTCAGAGAATTGAGAAGCGATCATTGTAGACACTTAATGTTTATTTTTTTAATTGTCCTGCTTGATTTCGTTTGTTATATGTTAATGCATTAAAACTTTTATGCTCGAAAAAGCAACTTTGCCAATTATGTAAACTTATTTTGCCATTCCCCCATGCATACATAGGCCCCGCCTGTAAAAACCCTGGTACCATCTTCCCCGTTAGACAGGCACCTTTGGCTGGTTGTGTGTGTCTGGGGGATTTCACCCGATCGTGGTCGAAACTGTTTGTCAGAAAGCAAAATTATCTCCCGGATTGGACATGCGATCCGTTTTTTAATTGATTGACTCAGTCTGACATGGAAGTAATTAAATCCACACTTCCACGTGGAACAGCTTTATCGCCGAACACATCTACAATTTCGAAGAAGCCGCAATTCATGCAAGAAGTGGCAACCCCACGAGCAACGAGTCGCTTGAGTCATTGTTTTCCGGCCTACAGTCCGTCAGCAAGAGCAGTGACCCCCCCCCCCCACTGCATATTCAGCGCTGAAACTTTGCCCTGGGCAGGATAATTGCACACGCGAAGAGTGTCCGGCCGAACATTATTTCCCGTGCCAGTATCCATGACCCAAATGGCCGAGCGATTATCCCACCAGCGGTCAACACCAGGGCTGAAATTGCGCCAATTAACGCCTCGGCTGAGGGCAAGCGAATCATGATCGCACCCAAATGCAACCATTTGCTAATTTTGATAAACGTGCTGTGGTGTGGCGGCTTCATCCTACAGATGTCACCGTCCTTATGTGCTCACAGTCTTTACATTTTGCTGTCTCTGGTGATGAGTTCAGGTGTGACTCTGACATATTAGTTCCAGCGACCGCGTCTCCTCCTCAACCCGTCGGCTGGTTTCTCGCCTGTCCATATCATACCGGTACATCTAAGTGTCACCTGAGCATATGCAGTTTTACACTCAAACGCAGCAATTATCACAAAACCCCCGGCCGCACAACAATCATGTTATGCAGTTTGAAAATATCGGCACTGACGGTGGAAGCATCATTGCTATGCATAGAGCACGTGGTGGACGGCCTTGCACCCCCCCCCCCCCAGAATGTGCCATCTGCAGAGAGTAGGAGAGGGAGGAGTTGGCGACACTATCATACAACGACATTTCCATACGGTCAAGCAATTTGCTGGTCGGATTATAGATGACGTTGCCCATCCCTTGCATCCTGATCTTATTTCTGCGAAGTCTTTCCGCCCGATGCGCCGCAGCTTCCGACTTATGTCATGTCGCACATCGGCTTTTCGGGCTTCTGTAGTGCCATTCCTGGCGCGTCATCTTACGTGCGGAGAGATAGAAATACAGGAACTAAGACTTGAACTATCCTCATAATAATCGTTTCTTTTGTGTTAAACTTTGACTCTTGAATAATCTATTAACTTATTTACTGCCCATAGTGAACGGAACCAATTTTTTGCTGAAAATTTTGAATTTATGATTTCAAAATAAGGCGACTTCCACTATCTATCTCTTTGTTTCGGCTCTAACGCTGAGGCTTCCTCAGTATGATAAGTGTGGAGCATGAGTGTGCATGAGTTCCAAGGCTCAAAACTGCAAATAAACTGTTCCGGTGCTCGAACCGTCTTCTTCTTCTTTACTTATGCATACACCTGGGACAACAACTGTCGCGCCCACAGGAATTTTTTTAAAATTTGGTATTCATGGGAACTCTCTTCGGTTAATTTGCCGAGACCTCTGGACATCGACCACATCTACAGGGACAAAGTCATTCTTGTTAGTGTCTAGCATTATACTGTTTGAGAGGCACTCTTTGATCTTTTATTGAAACATTGACCATGAAACATCGAAACACTGGCCAGGAGGAACTTTGAGGAAGGTCCTCTAAGTTTGATGCAATGAGTAGGATCTCCATTTTCCTGTAAAGGCAAACGTTGCATACTATGAAATTCAGCCGAGGCACGACCTTAGAGGTTGCAATTTGGTGAGTGAACCGCCAATTTGCTCATTAATTTCGAGCATGAACTACAAGCTGATTCCTATCCAGTGTCTTTTCTAGCGCCAGGTCCACGATCGCATAAATATTCGCTCGTGCGTGGCACGTGTAGACGGGCTGTTTAACTTTATCATCCGCTGCACCCGAACCGGCCTCTGGCCGTCCTGACCTCGTTTTGCCTTCGGGCTCAGGTGAGTGAGAAGGAAGAGAAGACGGTAGGCACTGCGCAAGTCCGGTGGCACCGCAAACTAATTCACGCACATGTCATCGTCCCTGCGCACACCCCTGCCGTGGGGCACACGGCGGACATAATCATTTGCGACGACGAAATGTCATAAATGTTCAAATACCATTGGTTGTCTATAGAAGCGAAGAGACGAGTCCTAGGGAGTAATTTTGAAGAAGGGGACATGAGAAAAGAGCTTTATTAGCCTGACGTTTCGGATTCCTGCTCGAACACATCATCAGAGACAAAAGCAGATACGGGTGGTTCATGCACAAGGGCTGCAGTATTTATATGATGCAGTCGTCAAGTGAACACTTGTCCCAACTCCAGGATCGGTGGATCAGATGGTCGGGTAATCATCACACCAACACCCAACGCACGTGATGAAATTGCAGCAATTAACGACTCGAATGTCGGCCATCAAACAATTAGCTCACCAAGCGCTACGATCCCTGAAGAAGGGGGAGCCGTGAATGTTCATAGGTATGCGGTAGCAGAACGACTACATCGTATAAATACCGCAGCCCCTTGGGCATGAACCATCCGTATCTGCTTTTGTCTCTGATGATGGGTTCGAGCAGGAATCCAAAACGTCAGGCTAATAAAGCTCTTGTCCCAGCGATCGTGTCTCCTTCTTCAAGACCATTGGCTGTGCATATTTCCCTCACTGTTAAATATGGCGCGTTTTCTAGCCATCACAGAAAGCTACAAAATGTAGTTTAGAATTTAGTAAACTTAGGCGATAAAAGTTATAGGTGTTCTGTTGGTTAAAACTTACCCAAGAGTATATTCAATTAAGGGGGGGGGGGGAGATCAGCATGCTCGATGCTGACCCGTTTTCTGCCATCAGCTGCAGCAACGCTCAAACATCAGGCCGGAAAGACTATTCTACCAGAATCCCTAAGAGCCAATTCATGGGCTCACACTCTGCCGGAGCAGTCGGTGGCATTTGAAGACACGCGGAGATGGTGTGGTATCGGGAGGGAAATGACAATCGCGACTTGCCTAGTGTCCTAACAAGGCTTTCAGGGCTAAAATCACGAAAACTCGTTTACCCCTATCCGAGTAAATTATGGCATTTAGTCTCCTCCACCCAGAGAGCCCCACCAATTAGAATCAAATTAACAGATATGTACGATCACAGAGTGGTACCCTAATGGGAGAACAAGATTGCATCAGAAGTCCCATTACTGGCTTGTCTTCGTGGTGCACTGATGACAGCGTCATCTCCTCTTGACCTGGTTTCAATTATCTTGTCAATCCTTGGCCTCAGGAGGGCGAAGACTAATTTGCCATTACCTATCCCTTCTCCCGCCTGTGCGTGTGGGGGGTAGGATGCCTGCCGGCCTAGTTGGAGGGTATTCTGGACCTCCAGCGTAGCTCGGTTGATAGCATCAACGCTAACGCAGCGGTTAAGTATAGGCAAAATAATTACGTGAGCCCTTTCAGAGATTGTCTTTAAAGACTTCGTATTTTCATAGGTGTTACGGTAGATTTCAAATAATTCACCTTGACCCAGCTGGAAAAAACTGGGTGCCTCCGTTGGATTCGAACCCACGACAGCAAGGAAAGGCTTTGGTAAAGCCAGCGCTCGAACCATCTGAGCTACGAGGGCCCACCGGACGACGGGAGTTTAATCACATTTGGGTCAAGTCTACCCGCCCAACTTACTGCAAAGTCTGGCACTACCAAATCGGATACAGTATGCTGACTGCCCAAGCAGGATTTCCTAAGTAATACATCTAGAATGCACCAGCTGACTACCTTGCTTACGTAATTCATAGGTATTTTCTTCCATGAAGTCCTTTTCCAAGGATACCGAAAAGCTTAATGAGGTAGAATTACCTATCTGTAAGGTTCTTTAG